AATCCAGCATCAATTTCTCAGAGCTCCGGACTCACCAGAGCTTAATCTTGCTTCCACAGTTGCCGAAGATCCACGCCGCTTGGCGCCACTACTGCAGATGCCATGACCCAAGCTTCTGCTAGCTCACACCTTTCTTTGCTACAACTTTGCTTTCCTCTTTGGTTGCCCAGTGCTTTGCCTTACTTTCACTCTCAAGGTTGATAATGGAGAGGGGAAATTAGTTCTTTCCCAAGAGTTGTCTCTCCAAAATGCATCCCTTATAAAGCTATAGGTGGGTACTGTTTATAGGCACCTCATGATGTAGGTGGAGCCCATGTGCAAGGCACATGGGAGATATTCTCTCTAACCACCTTGTCCGAGGAGGTGACCTCTCCGAGGATGAGGAAAACCCCGAAGAGGAGATCAACCCCTCGGCGAACCCTTCTTCTTAGCCACACCTAACCAATGATCCCCAATCATCCCAAAGGGTCAGGGGTAGTCCCAGAGGACGTCCTGTCGTAAAATATTGCCGAGTCTCATGGACCCCCCGAGGTCGTGCCACCTCGACCCGGGTGTAGGCTAGTTTAACCGAAGAGTGAATTTGTCTCCACTCACCGTCCTCGGGATCGGGTCCTTTGTTCGAACTCTATTACGCCCATGGTTCTGGTGCGTAGATCCCGGAAAGCTCCGAGTCCGCAAGTGTTCTGGGACTCATTAACGGAGCGACTTCTAGATTGCGTTTGAATCCGTTCGAAGCCAGGTGTTTCGGATCTCTAGATTCGTGGATCCGAATCCTTTCGAGTCCAAGTGCCTCGGATCTCTAGGCTTGCTTAATACCCTTTCGAGTCCGGGCTCGAGTAAGTCTCTAGGTTCGTGGATCCGAACCCTTTCGAGGCTTAGAGTGATTCGGCCCGTTTGATGGCGATAAATCCGGGCCCACTAATCTTGGACTTGTGATAAATTCAGGCCCACCAACCTTAGACTATTGGACCTAATTAATTTAGTGGGTTTAAATTAACTCCTCTTACAATAATTTATCATATCCCTCTCCTTATTATTAAAATAACATATTTTCACACTATTATGATTTTTACTCAAACGATCCATATAAATGCTGGGCATTTACTAGACTCAGAACCATTTTCAGAAAAGTAAAAGCATTGTCAGACTAGTTACCCCCCAAAATTAACCCCCCCAGAGGGGATAGGGGGTGTTACTGCTGCCTCTTTTTATGAGGTCTTCCTGAGTGTATTTTTTTGATAATTTAAATTGTTTATATTGTAAGGCTCGTTAAGAATATTATTTTTATAAAAATCAAATTAATCAGATATTTATAACTCTCTGATTAGATTTCAATTGTTTTTAAAAATTTATAAAAGTTATGTTAACCGTTAATTTTTATAGAAATAAATATGCTTTGGTTATAGGATTACAGATATCTAATCAATTTGATTTTTTTGTATAAATAACCTACTTAACAAATTTTATAATATAAATAATTCAAATCATTAAAAAATACTCTGAAAAACCTCTCCCAAAAGACATAACAATAATTACTGTGGTTTAAGGCACAACGGCACCCCTCTCCGCTGCCCCTGGAGAGGATGCTACTTCTCTTTAAGTTAAAAAGACAAAAGTAAAGATTACCCCCCTTGGACAGAAAAGGTAATTTGTTGATTTTTATTCTACTGATGATGTAAATAAAATCACCATATTTTATGATCTTTGTCATGAATTTTTTAAAATTTTCCCTATTTCTCTATGCTATGCATAGGCTAGATTTCCTTTTTCTATTTCCATTTTAGGGATGTATAAATTTTGGATAGAATTCTAGTCCCTTCAACTGTTGAATGCAGATAAAAGAGGACTAGTAAGAAAACAAATTAAAGAGATGCCACCTCAAAACCCAAAATTACTCC